ATAATGTTGTTGTTATGTGGCATTGAGTTGCCTGCGACTCATAGCGACCCTAAACGCTGCTCTATCCTGTGCCAATCTTATTGTCTCTGACACACCTACCCCAATTACCCCAGTCACTGAATTAATCCATCTCATCGAGGGCCTGCCCTCGCAACATATCTAAAGTTTTGAAAGATGTAGCTTCATCATCCTTGCCTCCAAGGAGCACTCTAGCTGTATCCTTTCCAAGACATATCTCTTCTTTTGGCAGACCATGAGATAGTCAAAGCTTTTCTCTAATCCCATAGCTCAAAGGCATCAGTTCTTCTGTCATCCTTATTCACTCTACAGCTTTGCACAGCAAATGATAGAAAAGACCATGGCCTGAATCAGACACACCTCATTAGTGTTCCTTATTTAAGACCTTTAAGTATTGTATTCCTGAACCACCTAACTTTTGTATTTAAATGCATTTTCCTGTACCAAGTGAACTGACGCTAGGTTCAGACTATACCCTCGAACCTGGAGGGAACCAGTCTGGCAGAAATGGCCCAACATTGTCACAAGGGTCACCATCCAGGTCTCATGCTCAGTGTCCAACTTTACTTCCTCTGCAGCACAAATTATTGTACTTAGTGGGCTTGACTCCATGCTTCCTGCCGGTCTCGCCTTAGCAGGAGCTTCCCAAGAAAGAGAGCTTTGTCTTACTTACCAACCTTTTCCCTACAGAAGTGTTTGTTGAATGAATAAATAAATAATGAAAAGATTATATAAACCTTTTGAGCATGCATAAAAGCACTCAATAAATCTTAAAATTTTTCCATACTGCCTCGATTTCTCCCTCCTCCCTTTTAAAGAAAAGGAAAGAAGACTAATTTGTGGCGTTTATAAAAATAGAGATCCATATTCGTTGTTAATCTGTAAGGGAAATGATACGCCTGCAGTTTTCAATAAAACAGACTACAGATCCCAGGCAGCTCAGCAAGCCAGGCCCGCCGGCTGTTCTTTCATTCTGTAAACAACCAATGACAGGTAACCTTTACAAAGGTCTGGATGACGTTTGCCATCTAGACTCTGACTAGCTTAAAATCCACTCCCTGCTGTTTCCAACGTGCTGCTGAACGTGCAAGCATATTTAAAGAGGAGTTCTTAGTAAATTCGCAGCTCATTGTCCTTCTTGGTCCAGAGGAAGAAAAATTGAGTCAATAGTCTACATGGATGAGATACTGAAGTACAGTTTGGACGATGCTGATGATTACTACAAGTTATTGGGATGTGATGAGCTGTCTTCGGTAAGAGAGTGGTTAATGCTGTTCTTTGTCCCTACCAGTATTGAAAGTTTTTATTTATGGTTTCAACGTTAAACTTTTAATTCCCTTGCCTAAACACCTACTCTTGTGTTATTGCAAAGCACTGTCTGCTCAGAGGAAGTTCAGGATTTAAATGTGTGGTGGGTCTCTCCATGAATATGTGGATTCTGGCACATGGTTGAATACACTCTTTCACAATGTACTAAAAAGACATCTTTGGCTGAGTTTTTCAGTATATGTAGGCTTGTTTTGGCAATTCTTTCTGTAATTAGGATGAAGTGTACGTTTCTAGTATAATTAGTGACATTAAGGTGTTTTATAAAAATAGGTTATTTTCATGTTAGTAGTTAAATCATGGACGGAGAAACATCCTGTTTATGTTAATATCTTAAATTGTTGCACACAAATTACTTCTTGCAATAATCTGGCTTCTGCAAGAAAATAAGCTTGAAAACCTGTAGTGATTCACTGTATTGGGATAATTTTTTTTTTGGTTGTTCTTTTCTTCATTTTTATTTTTCTTATATTGGAATAGTTTTTAAAAGAACGATCCCTGTGAAGCAATTATAAAGGTTGTGGAAAAGTTTTGAATTACCCAAGGGTAATATGAATATTTTGACATTTATATCTCCAGAATTACACACACACACACACACACACACACACACACACACACACACATCCTTAGAAGCTTGCTATTAATACTTTTTTCTCTTTAAAAAGATAATTATGTAGGTAGACAAGCACAATGCAGTTTCACTGCCAATCCAAAAGCAGGCTTGTTTGAATTCACCAGCTGCTCTACAAGAGAAAGATGAACTATCTCCTTCTGTGTTTTAGTGCCCCTGAAAACCTGCTGGATGGTCACCTATGGGTTGGTCTTGATTCAATAGTATATGATAAAAACCTATGGAAAAAACGGTTGAGACCAGGTGTGTTTATTTTACTATCAAGTTTTTAAGCTAGAGAGAGTTATACATTAAATGCTTTAAACAGGAAACATGACAATAAAACAATCATACTTTAACAGTACCTGCTTTGCATATTTTTGGTTCCTGCTTTTTTCAACCCATTAATATTGTGGCAAAGATTTCACCTTGTCATTAAATAGTCTCCACATTTTAATTGTTGTGTATTTCATTTTAAAGTTCTATCACCACTGAATAATTTTTATTTTAATACTGTTGAAATGAATATGAAATATGATAACCAACATTTTATAACATGTATTATTTTATACATTTTATTATCATTATTAATTAACACTGACATTTAAAACTAAGACATTTTTATAGTTACTTCAGTGATGGTATTTAGTTTTCCTTTAGAAATAGGTTTTCTTTCTTAAAAATTGGTTTTCATTCAATTATTCATATACATTAATTAGAATTGATTATCGCCATTCATTAAAATGTCTCATTGAATCCTCACTATACCCTGCAAAAGATAGGTTTTCATATTGAACACAAAGGATTAAAATTTCTATTTGCCGTCCTTATCATACTGAGGAAAGTATCATGGATACCTTGGAGTTAAAAAACCCCCAAACTTAAAAAAACCTAGGAAAGGCTAAAATCCTCTTTTAGTTGCACGTTTCTTCTCTAGAATAATATATTACTCTTAATTGACATTGGCTGTGATAATTAAAGCAATTAAGAAAGCTTATAACCATTTTTACTGTATATGTTTATGGAATTATTTAAAATCAGTGAATTTTGGTGTTTATTTTGTAAAGCTTCAAAATTTTAATTTTTTGAAAAAAGTTGCTGTCTTGATATGTAAAGTTAAAGCTGTAATCTCATAATACATTTCTTGACACCTCTAATCAGTCTTTTGTAGTGAGGTTCTCAGTTTACAAAAAAAGAAGAGCTGTTATGTTATCTCACAGAGGTGAACTCATTGTTTATGTATTTACAGTATGTTTATATGATTACAGTAGTGCCATTTCATGGTTCCAGTTATGACTGTACTTTCTGAAATATACTGTCACATATGTTGGAAAGATAATAAAAATATTGTCTCAGTATTCTTTCCCCCCCTGATCATTTTTACTGATTTTGTCAATGGTTTAGCAAGTCTAGAAAATAATCATATATTTAAAATGAAATTACCCTTGACCCATCTGTCAGATTTTTTGGGAATCATTTCCTCTCTTCTTTTTTCCGTGTCTCATTCCCATTAAAATATGTTGATACTATTTAATGTGACATGTCCTTTTCACAATTTATGTTTGAAGACATGTTCGGGAGAATATTGTGTTTAATTTTACTTCAAATATTGCTTGATTTCATGCTCCAAAATGGACCAGATCTCTTTATACTTATTAGTGACTTAACAGTTACAATCTCAAATCAACTCACTATTTTAGTTCTACTTAGAATAATATTATTGCGACACCACATAATAGTTTTTGCTGTGTAGTTCTACCATATATACTTGGGTTGAAAAGTGAGTTCAAAGTAAAACTGTTTTTTCTTCTTAGAGGCTTAAAAAAAATCATCCTTCCTTTTAAAAATTCATTTTCTTTCATTAAATTTTTAAATTTTTGCTCCTGTCACCCTCTCTCTTCATCTCTATTAACCTTCCAAGACTGAGTCTGTGTACAAACTTTTTCTGAGCTTTTTAAAAAAATTTATTTTATTTTTATTATTTCTTATGTGTGTACCATCAAATTGCATCTGACTGATTCAGGAGGAGATTGCCTTTCCTTCTCCAGTAGAGCATATGGTGGATTTGAACCATGTACCTCTGGGATTGTAGTCAGCTTCTTGCCACTAGGCCACCAGAGCTCCCTCTTTCCTGAGCTCTTTATAGGAGTGGTCTTATACTGTAATTATCCTTTGTGACTTACTTGCATCATTCAGCAAAATTTGTTCTAGTATCATTCTTCTTAAAAAATTTATAGGTATAAGCAATGAGAAGCATTCTTACATTACATACATGACATATATAAATAATGGCAAGATTTCCATGCTTTTGAGTGGAAAATAATATGCTCCCAATTTAAAAAAAGTACCAAAGTTTGATCCCAAGTCACTTGTTCTCCTGATTTCAGATTTTACGTGGAAGACCTAGATTTCCAAACCTCTTTTAAGTCCTTACTGATTTATAAATCACACATTAGGAGTCCAAGGCATTTTCTTTCCTTGTATGGCTCTTGGTTTTTTTGATGCTTGGGCACTCTTTTAGTAGTAAGGATAGGAGACCCTCATGCAAATAAATATATGCTTGAAAATGGAACATAAACCCAGACAAATGGCAATACCTAGTTTTTAGTTTCCTTCTAGTTATACCTTTTGTTGTGATTACTGTTTTGGTTTCACTGTGATATTTTTCACGTAGATCTTTGTAAATTCATTCTATTGTTTAACTCATGTTATTTTCTTAAACTCTGAAATAATAGTCTGCTATTATTATTTTTTTAAATTGAGATTTCTGTGAAGGTCTACAATACAAATGGTTTCTTCATTGAACCACCCACACATACTTTGTTCTACAACATTCATTTCAATATCCTCAATGTAGTTGTACTTTCCCCCTGTAATTCTATCAATGAATCCTTCTATATCAGTCTGTTTTCTCATTCTTTAATACTATGTTGATTGTCCCCTTATTGAATAATCCCTTTCTCTTTACTACCAAAGTAGCAAAAATTGTGTAAAAATTTCTTGACTACCCTTTGTTCAGTTTCTCTTAATGTTAGCATTGTACAAAACCATAGTATAGTGATCAAAACCAGAAAATGAATATTGCTAAAATATTATAAACTCAATTAATTAATATTGGTAAAATATTAACTTAATCATCCTCAACCCTCATTGCTGTAGAGGGGGATCATAGCTGAGTCTCCATTGGACTTCCAAGGTTTTAAATTGAGCTCTGGTGGCCTAGGGATAAAGAGCTGTGTTCCCAAACCAAAGGCAAGTAGTTAAAATTCATAAGCCTCTCTGTGGGAGAAAGATGGGAAATCTCCTGTGTAATTTACTGCCTCTTAAAAACTGCTGGAGGTTCCGCTATGAGTCGGATCTGACTCAATAGCACATGACAAAAACAACAGTAAAATTGCACAGAAGAGTTGCCGTCTTTCTCTTGTGGAATTTCTGGTGGATTGAAATTGCCAGGGGCGGGTGTGGCCTTTGGGTTAACACAACTCCCTATCGACTCCAGAGCCACCAAACCTCCCGATTAACTCAATCAGGGGCCAGCAAATATTTTCTGTAAAGGGTCAGTAGAAAAAAGTAGGAATAGAGTGAGGTAAGGAGGGAACATAAGGTGTAAAATTTAAGGCGGTGTTTACTCAGGGTGGTCCTAGTGCAGAAAGCCGAGTGTGAGCACCAACTTAAATGTTTTTGCCTGACATATCTATTTTGTCTTAGCCCATTTATCTTTTTTTAAAAAAAATGAAAATAAAATTTTTATTATATACTGGCTTGCTTACAAAGCTTGCATACATTGTTTTTCACAGCGGATCTTTCCCATTTTCTTTACCCACACTTCCCTCCACTCATTAAATTGTGTGACCCTATGATTAACCATATCACCCCCCACCCATCTCTCCCCTCTGCTCCCACTCTTCCACCTTGGATCCTCATACATGTTCTACAATAATGATCTTATATAGTATTTATCCTTATGGGACTGAGTTAGTTCACTTTGCATATTACTTTCCAGTCCCTCCCAAGTTAGGTAGTGATTTATAAAATCATTGCTCCTGTGTGCTGCACAGTATTCCATTGTGTGAATGTAATTTTTCAATCCATTAATTTGTGGTTGTACATTTGACATGTTTACATGTTCTTGTGATGGTGAATAATGCTATGAACATTGGTGTACAAGTCTCCATTTGTGCCTCAGTTCTCATTTTCTCAGTGTATATCCCAAGCAGTACAATAGCTGGGTCATAAAGAATTTCTATGTTCAGCTTTCTGAGGAAACATCAAACTGCCTTTCAGAGTGATTATACCCTTTTACAATCTCAACAACAATGTATGAGCTCCTCTCCTGCTACATCCTCTGCAACATTTACTACTTGCTGACCTGTTAAATTTTGCTACTGCTGCTGGAGTGAGATAGTATCTCATTGTAGTTTTGATTTGCATCTCTTATTGCCAGTGATTTTGAGCATTTCTTCATGTGTCTGTTGGCCATCCGAATATCTTCCACTATGAAAAGTCTTTTCATGTCTTTTGCCCATTTTGTAATTGTATTATCAGTCCTTTTCTTGTGGAGGCCCTGTAGGGATTCTGTAAGCTTTTGATAGGAAACCTTTGTCTGAAATTGTATTGCCAAATTTTTTCCCAATCAGTAGGCTTTCTTTTCACTGTGTTGAAAAATGTTTTGATGCGCACAGGGATTTAATCTTTAGAAGGTTCTGTTCATCAATTTTATCCTCTCTAGATTGTGCATTTCTGGCTGTATTTGGCAGCCTCTTTATACCATAAACTATGCTGTCTAAGCTCTAATCCCAGTTTGTCTCTGAGGAACTTTATTATATCCCACAAGGTAAAATAACTTCCGATAGTGATAAAAACAAATAATTAGAAAAAGAATGTTGTTGCTGTTTTTAAGTGCTGTTGAGTCATAGACAACTCACAGCAACCCTGTGAATGAAAGGCCTCAACACTTGCATAATTGTCTTCATTTCTCTAAGTTCATAGAGTTTCTGGAGGTAAGCTGTTTCGGAAGTGGATGCAACTCCTGTTTCCAAGCTCGTTTTAATTTGAGAGCTCCATCAAACACTGTCCACCATCACTTTATTGAATTAATAAATACATATGAGAAAAAGGAGTTTTTTTACCAGATTAATTCCAGTTAATAAATAAATATCTGATGGAAACAGAAAACCACTACTAGGCCAACACTATATAGTAAATACAATTCTAGGTAAAAGCCATAAAAGAATGTTAAAATCAGTGGATGATGATTTGAGGAGAAATAGTACACTTTTGAAGTATCTTCCTCAAGACTTTTATCAATCACAAACGATTTACTGGGGGGAAAAAGCCAGCTTCAAACTAAGTGAATTGAAAGGAAGAACACTAGTTTACTTATTAAGGTAATCTTTCTTTTTAATTTTTTTTTGCAGCAAATGCATTTTTATCAGAATCAGTTCCCTTTTGTTGTTGTTAGGTGCTGTCTAGTTCTATCAACACTGTGAACAACAGATCTGAACTTTGCCCCAATCCTGAGCCATATTCACCATCTCAGATATGTTTAAAACCATTGTTGCAGTCACTATACCAATCCATCTCTTTGTGTGTGTCAGTCCACCTTGCTGAGGGTCTTCCTGTCTTTCTCTGACCTTTCACTATTTTTTTTTCTGGCCAAGAGAACAAATATGTCTGTCCTGGAGAATGTGAAATCAGATTGCTTCTTGGAGGCAGATAGCAAAGCTCTGTCTTGCATATATTGGGTATGGTGCCAGGAGAGACCAGTTCTTAGAGAAGAGCATCATGCTTGGAAGAGGAAGACCCTGGATAAGATGGATTGACACAGTGGCTGTGGCAGTGGGGGTAGGGTGTCAGAGACAGTGAGTTTGGCTCATGTTAGGGCAAGGTTCAGAGCCGTTGTTCATAGGGTCATTAAGAGTTGTAATCGACTTGATGGCACATGACAACAACAACATAGATAATTCCTAGAATTGGAATTTCTGGATCCAATAATATGGAAAAAAATTAAAGTCTTTCCACGTATATTGCTCGATTGTTTTCCAGAAAATTGGCACCAGTTTTCATCTCTAACAGGAGAGGATGAGAGTACTCATTTCTCTAGGGCTTCAGTAACACTGCTCATTATCATTCTTACATTCTTTATTTACTTGATTACTATTGAGTATGCACATTTTTTGTATGTTTATTGGCCAACAACAAAGACAATTTTCCAGACTACTGGACTGAGAAAGCAGGATTCAGTGGGCCTTGATATGAAGGGTCTCTTGCCCATGGATTCTACTTGGCACTGGGTGCATGGAGTGGACATGCCAAAAAAATAAATGAAGCACGCTCCAGGCAAACAAACTCACTTGTGACTAACTTAGCTGTAGGAAGTAGTTAAAAAAAGATATGGACTTTTTCTGTTAACAATATAGAAAATGTAAAGAAGAATGCAAATATTCAGTGTGTGTGGTGGTGTGTTTTTTTTTTTTAAAGAAACTGGATTACATGATAAAGGTAAACAACCCAATTGCAAAATGAATGGGCACAGGATATGAACAGACCCTTCACCGAGGAAGACATTCATATCTCAAACAAACAAATGAAAAAATGTTCAAAATCTCTAGCTCTAAGAGAGCTAAAACAATTATGAGCTATCATCTCACCTCAGTAAGAATAGCAAAATTTAACAGAGCAGCAAACAACAAATGTTGGTAAGGTTGTGGAAAGACTGGAACATTTATTCACGGTTGGTGGGAGTATAAAATGGTGCAATCACTATGGAATTATGGTGTTTTCTCAAAAAGTTGTAAATAGAAAAAGTTCTGACTCATTGAGACCCTTCATTGGGTTTCTGAGAACCATATTGCATTAAGGTCAACATTTAATAGTTAATATTGATAACCTTTGAAAACCTAATGGAGGGTTCACAGTGTCTCAGGACCAACTCCACACCAGAGGTTTTCTTTGGAAACCACATTTTAGAATCACTGAACTACTTTTGCCTCTTGCAGCTGTCACTGCAATTGTGATTAATAAAGGCAAGTCTTAGTAATTCATTATAGCATGATGAAGATGAGTAAGCAGAATAAAATCATAGATAACCCTCAAACTTGATTTTAGTTTAGCTTAGAATTTTTGCTTTCCCAATAAAAATCTCTAACCAGATTTCTAAGTGGTGGTAAAACCACCAAATATGAATTATGTTCTTTTTTCTTTCAATTGTGAAATTATTAGTCAAAATGTAAAAGAACTGAAAGGCAGCATGAAGGAGCTCTATCATGGATAATTTAGAAATTGGGGCAATCATCCCTAATAATGACAGTGGCTAAGTATCATTTGAAGAACTCAGATAAGTAAACACATTTTTAAGTGGTTATTAATCTCAACAGCTAATCGAAAAAGTAAGTGGGCTGAACCTTCCCAGTGGCGCTAAAAGCCTGATGGTCAGCCTCTGTAATAATGATTACTCTGATCCGTAACACAGGGAGTTGTCTGAGGAGTCAGAATCCACGTGAAGGCAATGAGTTGGTATTATTGGTAGAAAACCCCCCATTTTACCATTTGCTGTTGTTGTTACATACCTTTGAGTCGGAATCTGCTCATAGCTCCAGAGGCTTTTCAGAGGCTGTATATAATGTGGAACGATTTTAGCCCATCTTTCTCCCAAGGAGCAGCTGGTGGGTTCAAACTATTTACTTTTAGGTTGGCATCGTGAATCCTTACCTTACCCACTGGGCCAACAGAACTCTTTTTTGATCATTTTGGACATTCAGATATACATAGCTTATAGATGTTGTGAGGGAGCTCTAGTCGTTTAATGGTAAATATAAGGTCACGGAGGAAGGACAGAACCTAGTGCAGACTAAGAAAGATAGTTTATTAAGGAGAAACTGCCGGGCTCGCCCTCAAGCAGAAGACCAGCCCCCACTAAGAGTTAGAGGAGGATTTTAAACTTTCTTACATGGGAACTGGGGAAGGGGATGCATACAGATGCTTCCTTCAAGATAGGGAAGTGGGCTGGGGTCTCAGATAGCTATTCCTGGGAAAATGGGGCTCGAGTAGTTTCACAGAGAGAAAAAGCATGAGTGCTGTTTCCTGTTATTAGAGTCTCTCAGTAGCCTTTCTGGGAGAGGAAGGAAAGGGCTCTGCAGTCCTAATAGTAAGGAATTACACTGCCAACTCAAAGGTACATGGTTCAAATCAATAAACTGCTCTACGGGAGACAGTTGGGCAATCACTTCCCAGGCGATTATGTGCCTCTGAAAACCCACTGGAGGTCACTTTTGACTTGACGGAACACAGCAATAACAGCAACATAGGTGTTGTAGGGCCCATGAGTCCTTGGAAAAGGACATCATACTGGGGAAGGCAGAGGGTCAGCAAAAGAGAGGAAGACCCTCAAGGACATGGAGTGACACAGTGACTGCGACAAGAGGCGTGAACAGAGCAAATATCCCTAAGATGCCACAAGATACGGCAGAGCTCTGATCTGTTGTTCACATGGTGGCTGTGAATTTTGGTTAACTCAATGGCACCTCCTACCAGCAGCAATAGATGCCTAGAGCCATCATTTGAATACATTAACAAGTTAAATTGTTTGTACAGGCCATTGGTGAATAAGAGTTTTTGTGCCTTCTGAACTTCTATTGAGGAAAATATTTCTGTGACCAAAAAGTCCAAACAGAAACAAAAATAAAAGCTGGACTGATCCTGACAGTTTGGGGAGAACAGATGCCCAGGGTCTTCCTTCATGCCATGTTGGATGCCTCGTTTTACAAGTTTATTTTTCTTTTAGGTTGAACAAATACTTGCAGAATTTAAGATCAGAGCCCTGGAATGTCACCCTGACAAGCATCCGGAAAATACCAAAGCTGGTGAGTATTTATCAACAATGCCTATTGTTTCCTACAGAAATGCCTGTGCATCCAAAAATCATTGAATAGCATCTAATGTTTCTTTAGTTTCTTCTTCTCAAAATGACTTTTTATTTCAGTGCTAAAGGGTGCTTTAATACTACTGATTGGTGAGGGCTGGGGTGGGGACTGAGGTAAGTATAGGGACTTTTCTCATGTGCCATGGAGCTAGATCTGTCTTCTAGCAGCCCCACGTATAATCATACAATAGAAAGAAACACTACCCTATCCCGCACCATTCTCACAATTGCTGCTAACAGTTGAGCCCATTGTTGCAATCACTGGGTTAATCCTTTCCTGATAGTAGTCACTTAACATTAATTTTCCTTTTTCTATAATCTATAATTTTTCATTATCTTTATGATTTAAGATTTGTGTAGCTCATGCTGCATTTCACCAACTATTGAGCGTTAATAAGACTTGATATGGTAACAGTATAATAAGTGTAGGGATAGCAGCATCTGACTTCTATTAACTCTGTAAGATGAGAGAATCCCCATCAAAAACATCAACAGCTGATTCCTATGAGATCAGACATGGTTCCCACACACAACACCTTCTTCAAGTGATTCTAGCATCATGTCCCTACGTTGACTCTCATTACTTTTCACGCATTCACTCACTCACTGCTGTTGAGTTGGAACAGACTCGTGGCTGAACCTCTAGGTTTCTAAGTTTGTTAACTGAACCAAAGGAGATTACCTATCTTTCTCCCTCATTGCTGCTGGTGTACTTGAAGCATCAGAGAAGCTCAATTTATAGGTTAACAGGACAACTCACTACAGACTATGTCACCAGAGCTCCTAACTAATAGGTTCGCTGATTACTTGGAATTCCCACACAAAATTCACAGACAAAACTCCAGATTATGAGATTTATTAGTAAAGTAACATTACAATTCAAGTTTGAAACACTCAGGATACAATTCACCAATATCAGGACAGCTATTCACATGCTCTCTCACACAGGCCTCCCTCAGATCCTGGGCCTTGTGATTCTGGACACACATTATGTGCTTCTCATGCCAACTTTGCCAGTAAGCCTAGGTCAAGGCACCTAGCTTTGGCTCTGTGGTGTAGCAGATCCAGCTCAGTGTCAGTCACATTTTGTCTCATGAAGTTGTTTCTGTCCCAAAGAAAGAGCTGTATTTTGTGCCACTCTTGATTGTAGTGAGATTCTCATTTTCTGCTTCTAAATCTGTTCAATTTAAGCCCCGTGGGCTGATAGAACTGCCCATATCCCTAGGGTAGTGCTCTGTACACCTTTATTCATGTTATTAGTGAACTAGCCAATCCCCTTGGTGGCCCACAAATACCTCACATTTGCAATAGTCCTACTCAGTCATATGGTGAGTGTTAAAGCCTGTGGCTAGAAAACCTATGCTGAATAATCCACTCTACCACACTTGAGAATGTATTCATGTGATTGTTTTTGCTGAGTCCTTTTTTTCTTCAGTTTAAGGGGGAGGGAAGATTCTAAATATGCCCAGACATAATGCATGACAGCATATTCATGCTTTTATTTCTTTCCTTATCATTTAGATATGTTTATATAAGTCTCATCTTGAAAAAAAATATACACAGACCCAAAACCCTTCCTTAACCATTTTTCTTTCTCCTTCTCCCCATCTTGCTCCTCTTTAGAAGTAGATTTTTTTTCTTTTTTTTAAGACCAATATTAACTCATTCTTTATTCATTTATCCATTCATTCAATTGCTTATAAACTCTGATGTGGTTATGGGAGATCACATGCTTATAATATATAACAAAAAGAAAGTTTAAAGAGGAGTTTAATTAGGGAAAATGCCTTTAAAAGTCCCTTCACTGCTTAGTTGACATAGAGTCACATTCAAATCACATAGGTTTCACAGAGTTTTCGATGACTGTTTTTTTTAAATTTTTTAAATATATTGATACAATATTCTCCTAAGATGTTTTGGAATTTAACCAAGCTTCCATTTTTTATTAACATATTAAATGTTTTCAAAAGCCAAAAATGAAAGGGAAGAAGTTGATAAACACAGGTCTCGATCCACTATCTTAATGTCTTTCAGTCTGTTGTTTATTGACACCTCTCTGATCCAATTTTCATTCCCAGAACCCCATAAAATTACTTGTAGTTCTCATCTAGTCCCACAAAATAACGGTGAGCACTTGGCATAAGTGGTTGTCTCTCTCTCTTCAGAAACCTTGGTTTACAGAACCTGTGCCTGCTCTTCCTGCCCTTGCCTCCCCCATTCACCAGCTTCTTAAGTTTTTATTGGTTAGAGGTAGACTTCTTGATAAAGAAGTCCAAAGTGATTTTGATATTTCCCTTGTTCCATTTTCTTATTTTCACTCTCCAAGTTCCTCTTCTGCTGTTAGTTTTTGTTGTTAGATGCCATGGCACCAACTACCACTCACAGTGACCCTATGAGCAATAGGTTTGAACCTTGTCCTTTCTTGGTGCCAACCTCACAGTCTCTTATGTGCTCAAGCCCGTTGTTGTAGTCACTGTGTCAATCCAACTAGCTGAGAGTCTTTCTCCTTCTCCCCGATTCTCTAACGTTCCTAGCATGATGTTGTTTTCCAAGGACTGGCTTCTCCTGACAACATGTCCAAAGTACGTGAGACAAAGGTTCACCGTCCTTACCTCTAAGAAACAGTCTGCCCGCACTTCCTCCAGGACATTTTGTTCTTTTGATGGTATATTGTATGTTCACTATTTTTGCCAATATCAGAATTCAAAGGCATTTCTTACAAATAGCTCTTGTTAAAGACACTAGGCACTTCCCTTCTAGGGACCTCTTGCGACTTAGTGGTAAGGAATTGTGCTGCCAGTCCAAAGGTTTGAATAGCTAGCAGCTCTGCTGGAGAAAGATATGCATTCTTCTCTAGTGCAGTTTACTGCCTCTGAAAACCTGCTGGAGGATCAGCTGTGGTTTGGCTCCAACTTAATGGTACACAACAGCAACTTCTTTTCTTGTAAACCCAGTGGTTACTTTTTAGTTGTTTTCTTCTCTGAGCTTGCAACAGAATTTGGCCCTTGAAAATCTAATAATTTTTGGTCTGTTGATTATGCATTTTCAGTTATATCTGATAGCCTATTTAGTCCATAGATTAGGGCTCCTAAGTCTCCCCCAATTTTTTCTTTGATGATCTTTAGAGTTTTTGGTTTTATGCCAAAATCTTTGATGTATCTTGAGTTAGTTTCTGTATATGGTGTGAGGTGTAGGTTTTGTTTCAAGTTTCTGAACATAGATATACAGTTTTGCTAGGACCATTTGTTACAGAGATTGTCTTTTCCCACTTAATGGATTTTATCTCTTTAGTAAAGCTCAATTTTCCATAGGTGTGTGGATTTATTCCTGGGTTATCAATTCTATTCCATTCTTTAATGTACCTGTCATTTTACTAATGCCATGCTGTTTGGATTACTGAGCTGTATAGCAGGTTTTAAGATCAGATAATGAGACCTCCTATTTTATTTTTCTTCTTCTATGATGCATTGCTTAGTGGGTGTCTCTTTCATTTCTTTATGAAGTTAGTGATTATTTTTCCATCCCTGAAAAATTATGACAGAATCTGGATAAAGATTTTATTGCTTTTGCCTATGTAAATAAAGACCATCACCCCGTATGTTGGGCAGCATACAATACACACTGTTCCCTTATTGCCTCTTTGCTTATTAGTCATACTCAAAGCTTATATGGCTGATTGTCTTGTTTGCAGTGCTATTCCTCTTATAGCACAGTGCCCGGCATAGGATACTTTGTGTGAATTATTTCTTGAATGAATGAATAAATGTTTTAATGTTTCTTTTTATGCCAGACATACTCAAAACCTCTCTGAACTGGGAGTTAATATTAAAGTGGATGCCCCAGCACAAATTAGATCAAAAAACAGCTACCACCTCAGGTTATTCTTTAACTGGGTTCCTTTTCAGTGAACATGACTTTGACTTATTCCTTGGCCCCCGGAAGACATTTTCCAGTTAGGATACATGATGAATCACTGTGCAATCATTGCTGTTTCCAGTTGCCATAGTGATAGGGTTTTTTCACGTCAGGATTACCTCAAGGCTCCTTGTTCAGGGGAACACTAGACAGTGTAAACATTGTTTAAAATGAAAAGGTACACAGCCATCAATATCTTCCCTTGTCAGACTTACAGTTGACAGATGAGTCAGCCTTTGGGTAGAAATTGTTTCCAATCTATTTAAGCATCTCTTTACTCAACTAGTATGAATTTCTGAAAGTATAAGTGGTTCTTTACAATGTTCTTAGTTAGAATAGGGTTAAGGTTACTGATAAAACAACAACAAAAATAAAGAAAACATTCTTGATACTGAATTTTAGCTCAACAGAAATTCAGAATGTAATGAATAGATTTTTGAAAATTTCATTTAGGTTAAAGGCTAGCTGGTAGAGGAACTACAGATTATTACTGTTATTTACTGTCAAACTAATTCTGACTCAAAGCAACTCTATGAGGAGAACTGTCCTATAGAGTTTCTAAGACTATGATCTTTACAGAAGCAGACTGCCAAATCATTCTCCTTTAAAGTGACTGGGCATTTGAATTGCTGGTCAGCAGTTGAGTTGTAACTATTGTACCACCAGACTCAAGCAGAAGAACTTAAATTTGTATATACACACAAGTTGTATATGTTGTTGTTTTTAATTGCCATTGAGTCATAGGCGACGCATAGAGACCTTATAATCGACAGACCTGAACACTTGTATAACTTTCATCGTTTCTCCAAGTTCATAGGGATTCCAGAGGCAAGCTTTTTCAGAAGTGGATGCCACTCCTGCTTCCAAGCTTGTTTAATCAAGGAGCTTCACCAAACACTGTCCACCATGGGTAACCATTATTGCATGTGACACATCAGTGTCACAGTGTAACCACAAGTTACCTCTGTACAGCAAATGGATAGACCAGTGTTATGCCAGTTAGAAGAATGTTTGACCAAAAACAAT